CAGAAGTATTTTCCACTTGTATTTCATCTCTACCACGTACATTTGTGCCCTCAGCTCCCTAAAGGCTGGGATGTTTTCAGTGGTTTCAGGAACACCAGTTGGGCTATGACCTTGACAAAATGATCATTGCCTTCACTTCTGAAATAATGAGGCCAAAACGTGGGGCTCTTTGCTGTAGGAAAGCATGTTCACGATCAGTGTCAGTAATGGTCCATATGGCCTTTCAGTTTCACAGGTTTCCCTGGCCTATTTTCCTGGTCACCTGAAGAGATAGGCTATACTCTTGGTCCTTTCCACCGCTGGTTGCCTTAGAAACTGTAGAATCCAGCAGTCATATTGGCTAATAGCAGCCCATCTGCCCTGCCAGTGATGGAGGTGGACAATTTAATGAAAGACAAACTACTGTGAAATCAGTAGAGATGCCATTTCAGAGCTCAGTAGGGGGAAGAGGGGAGAGACTTCAGCAGAAATTCTGCAATTCATAGCAAGGTTCAGTTTTGTTCTTAAATGTATTGAAACTGGGGAAGAGAAAAGAGATGTATATTTTAAGAATATTTGTCATGTTTTTTTCTCCTTATATTCATAATAGCATCACATATTTGTGTTCCTGAAGAATGATCACAAGTGGTTTATACAAGAAGAGAAAACTCTGCCCTCATCCTGTTCATGGTGCCCTCCTGCGCTCTGGTGTTCAGATCTATAATTTTGATCAAGGAGAGCCACATATAGGAACAGTATAATGTGCCCCCCCCCGCCAAAGTTACAGAATGAGAGGGAGACATGTGATTTCTTAAAACAGCTGAGACCCAGTGTGGTATAGTAGTAGAGTATCCATCTCGCAGCTTAACCTCCTTTGTAGGGCTGCTATGAGAATAACATAGTAAAGCAGCAGAAAGTCTGGCAAATCTCAGAGCTAAAACATCTGAATTGTCTTCTTTTCTGCATTTTGCCACCTACTTAACCAAGGCTTAGCGGGCTGGAGAAGAATTTTTCCTATTTTCATCTTTGACCTTGGGAAAATAAGGCAGATTTATAAGTACAAAATCTGCAGTTATTTTTGTCATTGTTTTGTGATTTGTTTTGTTTTGTATGCACATTTGTGAATACCTACATTTTTTTTAATGCATGCATTCCTGAAGAAACAATTATGTAGGCACAATAATGGCACCTGAGGGGTATAATCTTGAGAGAGGGGCTGACTCTTCCACAAAGAAATGTGGTCTTTCTGATCAGTTATCAGGCCAATACAGACACTCTTTAGTTCTCTTCTTCTCTTCTGCCTCTCATAGAGTAACTATGGTACACTTTACTGATAGGGTCCCCTTAATGAGCTTCAGTGTTCCTGAATAGGGCAGCAAGATTGCTGACTACTATTAGCAAGAAGGAATGTTTTGGTGTGAGATTGGTGTGTGGGCAGGAGAGGATTACTGAAACTCTGGTGATTTCTTTCACAGAGCCATCTAATATCTCTTTTATGATCTTAGCTTTATAAAAATAGTGTCATAACTATTAATGTTGCATTTTTCTTCATGGCCAGGGTTATTCAACGATTAAATATGCCTGTGATGTTGTAATTCTTGCAGCCTCATTGGAGTTTGTTCTGGAGAAACTCCACTTAAGCAAGAGCAGAAAACTTACTCCTTTGGTCAGTAAATAAGACACAACAGTTGAAAGAGCCATCTTTGTGCCTATGAGTTCTTTATTAGAAAAAAATATATGTGGATGGTCTAGAACAGTGTTTCTTAAAGCATGGTCCTAGGAAGTACTGGCAGGGAGGGGAATAAACAATACACATAGGCTATATGAGAGTAGAAACAAGCTGTCTTTGTGCAATTCCCAGGGAAAGAAGCAAGGCAGAGATAAATTTGTGTAGTCAAGAGCAAGGCTATTATTTTTCTAAACCAAGCATTGTTTGTTTCTAATATGATTTGCAGGAAGATGATGTCTGTAACCAATTTGTTAAAATGCTTGCTGCAAACATTTGTCTTCCCTTTTAAGGGATCACCCGGTGGCCACAGAACTAAATAAAGCAACTCTGCAGCTGTTGGGGGATTTTGGAGGTTAGGAAATTCCCCTATGCTGTCAGCCATGTAAATGACAGCGATACTGAGCTGAATATGAGAAGGTAGGAAGGCATCCTGCAAGGAACTGAAGATCAATTCAGGAATAGTCTGGCATGCCTAAATGTGAACACTAGCCAGGTAAGACTTCCTGGTATATGGCCCTTTATTGCCTTGATTGTTCCTTCAGTATTTCATCTTTGCCCTCTCGGTCTCAATATGGACTGATTTGGCTTTTGATTTCTGGACTGTCTTACTGAATATTTTTGTAGGTGTCTCTCTGCCCATGAGCCATCCTTTCTGATACTAGACCTTGGACTATGTAGTTACATTTTTGCTGCTTCTCATCCCTAAATCTGACCCTGGGCACCAAACTAAGAGAAAATACAAACCTGCTGTTGAGGTGACATGGACAATGCAACCCATTTTGATTCCATAACACAGTGCTGTAAATGCTTGAGTATCAACTGTGACACAGGGCACAACCAAAAGGCCGTGTTAATGTGCATTCTTCCAATCCTTGAGTCAGCAGAAAAGTATCTTAGCATAGGTTGCTCTGCCTCGATGTGGTTTTATTCTGCTCTAGTAATGATGTCAGCAAGTGTGCTGTCTTTACAGATTTAATGCAGGACAAGGTAAGGAAGGCAATAGGTGGATTCCTCTGACCTTGTCCCATCCCCCCACACCACCATCAGTCCATAGGAAACCATCTACCAATCACTCTCCTTAATGGAGAGCTTAATGGAGCTGGAGCTGGGGCTGGAGAGAAGAATTTAGCTAGATAGTTAGACCAGCAAGTTTAGCCACCTGTCAAAACTTGCTCTGGTTTTGCATGGCTGCATTAAAAAAGTCCATTCTGGAATAGTGCTAAACTCATGTTTAAAAGAGAATAAAGAAGACCACATAAGAAAAGAGAGGTTGGCTGAAGAGATTAGAGGATTCTACTGATAGCTTCATCTCTCCAGTACCAAGACTGCTGATCTGCAGGATGGATGGGTCTGCCTAGTTAATGTTACATAAATGAAAAAAACCTTGCCCATTACCTAAAATAATCCACTACAATAATTTATCTGTGTTATGGCAGCTGTAAGCAATCACACAGAAAAAGACTTCTATAAGTTGTTGAAAGGTCCGGGTGAATCCATCATGAAGGCTACATCTTGCTTTCCTCTACATGTATTACCATGCCCACAAGAATGCGGGGCTACCTAAAGTCCCTTCTTACCCTGGGCTACCATCCTGCTAACTCAGTCTTGGAAATAAGTCTCTGTGAATAGGGCAGGAAGAGACTAAATCCTAATTATTCTTACTGGGGAGATTTTTTTTGTATTTCTCCTTTTGCTGATTGAGCAATTTCTATCAGATTGAGATGTTCTGTATTTCATAAAGGAAGGGAATCTGAAACAATGGAATGTTTGTATACGAATATATATAAGTTATAAACTTCAAGAAAGGTTGACCTTCTTTAAAAACAGTCACTCAATCAAACATGAATTCTCAAACAATATATATAAAAAGTGGGGAGGGGAGATGAAAAGGAGATAGCCATCTTGTGAGTTACCATCACTGTGTTCAAAAACACAGTATCCCTAGCAAAGGGTGACTGTTGAAATCAGAAAATGTGAGTCATGGGGAGGCAAGCTGAAAGGAGAAATGATTACATTGTAGACTGACGTGTGGGAAGGGATAGAAATTGTTTACCCTACTCTTCCCCACAACTACTGCTGTCAAGGAACTTGCTCACCATTAGTTCCAGCAACTTGAGTGAGAGGGTATACTGTGCAAAGTTGCCCCTGCTCACTGATCAGCTGGTCAGAACCATTGGGAAGGTCCGCCTGGCTTAATGCAGCCACTAACTACTGTATTCTCAACTGGAGACTTTGTGAACCAGCCCAAGGTATCTATTAAAAGCGACAGAAAGAAGGAGGGAAGAAAGTCCAAGATGGTGAGAAGTCTGGAAAGAAGAACTCTTGCATTCAGCAGATCCCAGGAAAGCTGGACCCCATTCAGTTCTCAACTGCCAGGGATTTAGACGCACCTAGAGAACTCTCTCCTGGTCCACCTCACACCTCTCCTCTTCTTCTGTAACCTGTCAGTTGGGCTATTTGAAGAGGATGGGTATGGGCTGAAATTTGTCATGTGGTCATATCAATAAATGTCTTGATAGAGTGATCTATCAAGGCTATTCCTTATAAGTAAGCCTCCCGTGTGCACACGCATACACACTCCCAAGGACTAGTGCACTATAAAAAGAGTGCCATTCATATTTTTTAAACACAGGTCTGTTCCAAAACAGCAAAAAACTCATGTTTATAAGGAAGCTATAGAAAGAGCCCTTGAGACAATACCAGTCAGGCATTATGTGGCCAATGCCTCTGTGGCAGCCAAGTGTTTGTTTGCTCTTACTCTCCAAGAATCAGCTCCATCTCTATTCTAGACTGAGAGGAGATGGGGAAGCTTGTTGTTCAGGTGTACTTAGGGAGCCTAGTCAAGTGTTAGCATGTTGATTGAATCAGGCCATCATCTTTTCCCATTACATAGTTTGCTTTGGCATTACATGTCACATGAAGAGCCATCTGTTGCCCTGAACTCTGTTGGAGGAAAGATAGAAAACAATGATGTTATGGCACTAGTGGAGTTTAAATATTAGTACTGTGCGGGTGTGTTAAATAGAGATGTGTCTTAACTGCCATTGGATCAAGAATGTGTCTTTTGAATTATCTTGATTGGTTATTTAAAAACAACTTTTGAATCTAAATAAGCCCCAGGAAAAAATCAGTTTCAAAAACTTTATTTTTACATTTTACATCCAGAGACTGGATAAATCCAAGTTACCATGTCATGCACAGAACCTATATTCTAAAGATGACCATAAACACAAAACAGGAAGCTTGCTTCTGTCAGCACTGAAATGTAATGCACACCGCAGGTTCCTGAAGCATTTAAAACTAAAACCCACATTGAACAATATGGAAACCCTAGTTCTTATCATTATGGAATTTATCTGGCCTAGAGTCCAGCAAATTCTGCCTTGGGTAGGTGATACAGAAGTAATGACCTTTCATTTTTGGCTTAGTCAATAACCATCTTGTATTAACATATCCGTTTGAACTTCCTTTCTTGGGTAGGAAGCAAGCCAACTTTTCATCACAACAGAAGTTAGGTCTCTTCAGTAACAAATTTCATCTCCGCATTACGGGAGCCTGAATGCATGCCATTGTCCCGTACACGCTGGCGGAAGAAGAAGGGGAACGCCTTCTTGAAGGATTTGCGGAAACTGTCTCCCATGAAAGCATAAACAATGGGGTTGAGGGAAGAGTTAGCATAAGACATGCAATTAGCCCATGTCTTAATCTTATAGGTCTCATAGTTCGCCTGGAAATGGAGATAGAAGCCCTGAAAAAGCAGGTAGAACTGGATAGGACCCCAGCAAATGGCAAAAAGAAGTACAATCACTACAACCATCTTGGAAATCTTCGCTCGCATGGCAGCGGAGCGTTCAGAGAGATGTTGCACTTGCTGGAAATGAACAGAAAACACACGAATAGTGTTTATGGAGAGTCTGCCAATTGAGCGGCAAGAGCAATTGCCTGTTTAGCAGGAAAAAAAGACCTACTGGTTTCAGATTCAGGAGGAAGACAATTGCAATTTTAGTCAGTCATAACATTGAGGGGTACCTAGTGAAAAAAAACAGCAGCTTTGGAATCTCAGCTTTCATCTTTTCAAAAAGAAAATATCCCAAATTTGTGGAGTATGTATCTTTGGAGAGATGTTGACCAGGGAATATGGGAGGCAAGTGGTAGAATCTCAGTGAAATGCGAGGGGCCCAGCAGGCCTTCTACAGGTACTTCGATACTCTGCCCATGCCAGGGCGATGGTCCCTCAGGTCAACCCAGACTCCTGGCAATGCAGGAACAAGTCCATGTAGTTACACAATAACGTTTTTGGAAGTGGCTTGCCAGTACCTTCTTGCTAGGGCTGACAGAGAGTGACTGGCCCAGAGTCACCCAGCTGGCTTTTTGACTCTAAAGCAGGACTAGAATTCATGGCCTCCTGGCTAGCATCTTTAACCATTACACCAACCTAGCTACCTTTTTTCTGAGGGGGGGGGGAATGTTATTTGCTGATCCTTACATTGACAATCCCTCCACTAATTAGTCATCTTATGTTCCCACTTATTACAAAATAATGACAATAGTAATGTAAGACTTCTTCGGGAAAAATGATTGGGAATAAAATAAACTAAGCATACCTTAATTTTTTTGCTGCATAATTGACAGGCAGTGTGAAAAAATTCAGAACACATAGGATATGTATTATTACTGTATATAAACAGTTGAAGAAGACAAAATGAGAATTGATGAACCCAAATATTCTATGCAAGTCCAAAGAACCTTATACATTTTCAAATAAGGCTTCAGCAATATAGGAACATACAAAAATATGTGCATTTTTCCAGGTATTTTAGATATAAAATTAAATAAGAAAAGATATATGTTGTATTTGACTCAATATTATTTTATTATTAATTAAAATCAATGTATTTGTTATTATAAATGGACACCAAATATTAAAGCATGATTTATTATGCATTTATGAGCCACAACAAATCTGTTGAGGATTCCTCAGGCTCCTAGTTGACTTTAATTATGCTTAAAGTAGCTTAATTAGCATATTATACTACATGAGCAAAGAAAATGATTCTAACCCTCACCAAAACCTATTACACACATTAGTAACTGCATGAAATTTATTCTGGCTATACCTAAGCAATGTATGAGAGAGAACAGGTTCTTAACTTTTCTTTTAGATTTTTTTTTAACATTTGGTATAAATTGCTTAAATTACTTGAATTGGGCCTTTTTTTTTTTTTTTTTGGTCATACGGAAGACTGCAGGAGTTATACAAATCTGACAGTAGAAGTATAGTGACCCTTCAGTTTCTCTCCGCTACCTTACCTGGTAATCATGGTCCACTGGTTCAACCACAGGACGTCCAATGCGCTTGAGCATGATGGAGTAGCAGAAGCAAATAGTGAGCAGAGGCAATAGATAAACGCCCAGGAAAGTGTAGAGGATAAAGCTGCGCTCCTGGCTCTTGCTTGTGAAAGCTTCAATGCAGTAGGTACGTAAACCATACCAGTAGCCATTTTCGGTGCGATGATACATAGCCATGGGTAGTGAGAGAATGAAGGAACCTGGAGGTCACAGACACAGAACTCAGAGTCCTTTGAAGCAATGAGGCTCTGAATGTTAGAACAGTCATCTCAGAAGCTATGCGTTCTTGCTTAATGCATCTTCTCACTTACCATAGTTGAAAACAGGCTTTCTTGAGCTCGGTAGAATTCTTCTGATTAATTTTATCTCATAACTAACAACTGATACATGTCTATATCCCACAGAACATATGAAGATTAAACTATAAATGATATTTTCTCTTGCATAATAAAGTTTGGCTCTTATCATCTGATTTCAATAGGTATTTTTATCAACTCTGCATCTGCAAATCAAATTAGATTTTTCTCACAATAGCACACCTCTGCAAGTCTACTTTGTAACTCTCCTTGTATGTGCAAAGATGGAGAATGGTGACTCTGTGCAAGCTCTTGATGCCCATCACATGGTGACTGACTGCAGAGGAAGCTCTCCTCTATCCATGGAGACTTTTCCCAAGATTTTCCAATCCTGTTTTTCCAGTGTGTTAAAATAGTGGGTGAGCATGTAGAAAAAAAGCTCTCCATAGAATTGAGAAAAACCAAGAGAAGGATCCCATCTCTTGGGAAGGAGGAGTGGATGGATGGATGGATGGATGGATGGATGGATGGATGGATGGATGGAT